ACGAACTCATTCAATAGCACGACATCAAAATGACTAGAATTGCGAAAAAAAACTGCACTTTGCTATAATCTATTCTTTGCAAGACTTCAACAAAAATTTTTGCTTCTTATTAGTTGAAGCTATGGCTTCCCTGCTGTATAATTTCCAGATAGCGTTTAGTATCAGGATAATGAAAGGTTTGATCAAGTAATACTCGTATAGTTGGATGCTAGGAGAAAAGTCAACTTGTTCTGTAAAGATTCGGAGACAAAAGCAAAACTTTTTCGACAAAGTGAGACCAGCTGAGAGACGGGCAAAACGAAGGACCCGGATGGTGTGGTGGTGAAGTGCGCGCTACTCCCCGGAAAGGATAATAGCGAGTTCGTTTCCCACCGCATACACCTGCCGTCCGGAGTTTTACAAATATCTCAGCATTATATACGAGTTATATTTTCGATAAAGATTTGGTGTGTTGAACATAAAAACAGAATGAGAAACGAAGGATGACAAAATTGACTAACTTGGGAAAGTAAACAGTAAAGAGAAAGAGAATGATCTGTAATTAGATGGAACAAATCAAAGAAGAACCAGTAGAAAGTCAATACGAGAATCCTTTAAGAGCCGTTAATGCCAAGTAACAACCTAATTCTAGACCCAAATGCGACATTCATTGAGTGAATACTGCACTGCATTCAATTTTGGAATCAACTAGAGTATGTTGATTTTCCGCCCATATGAAGTGCATCAAACTTCATCTTTTGAAAAACATGTAACACTGGAGTAGTTTCTTCCTATTAACTTACAAACGGAAAAATTTAATAGCCGGAACACATAACCAGTTTTTTGAGGGTTTAAAATGCCGGCTATACAGACCGCATTGATTGCATGCACTGTTGCATTACCAATGAGCAAATTTAAATATTAGAAAGGTTGCTTTATCGTTAACGTTTGCTATGGTGGCTACAAATTTTAGCAATGCCGGATAGACCTCTGGCAGTAGTCCAGAGCATACTAGTGATGAGAATAACTTAAGCGTAAGCGTAGTATATGTACGGCATTCGAACTACACAGATGAGAACCGCATTTATGAAGCAAATGAAGGACTAAGATCAACACGAAAACTTCGATAAACCGAGGCCAATCTCAGTCTTCGCACCCTTTGAATAATTTTTTTAAAATTTTTATGCAGTGCTATCGAAGCATGTCAAACATTATTAAGGATATTGAAATCCGTTCACCATATCCTGCTCAAGTTACCAGTCTTCTAAAAATGGGTCAACCTGATATATCTGAAAATAATCTTCAAGCCTCTATAAACGAAACATAATATTTCTGTATTCTCTTATTCAGTAATGCACCAAGCCATACTGCAGTGATTTCCTGCTATAAACAAGCAGTAAATAGGGTCTGTAAAATAGGCCTGTCGTCGTAGATATGCTGGGGAAGCGGTCGATTTGTTATTGTGTAGTGAAAAGCTGACGGTACCACTTGAAAGCAGAACATAAAGTAACAAACGAGTTAATGTTAACTCTAGGCGAATACCTCGTGCAATAAAGAAAAATGTGCTAAACAACAAAAAATTTATTTGCGAATGTCTAAGGTGCTGGTGAACAACGTTGTCAGCAGGTGTCGGGGTTGCTTTAGTGACGACTCAACATGCGTGAGTCTTGGCCGAATGTGGAAGCATCGTTGACGGAGAACAACTCTCACTAAAGCAGAAAAATTTCGGCAATAAGCAAAGCAAATAAAGCATTTGTGAAACATCACATTGTGAATAATAAAAATCATATTTGCTTAAATATATGTGTGTACGGCACGTGTGGAGCAGTGGTTGGAGGGGCCAGTGCGACACACACGTGGAATCGATCCCTGCGCCCACGGCCCACCAAGCTGTCCATCCCTCTGGGGTCGGCAAATTGGTACCAGACTTGTCTGGAAGGATAGTAGCACTGGCATGATACATCGGTATGCTACCACGAGTCATTGTAAGGGCCAGATATGCATTCAATCACCTCCAACGATAATTGATGAAGTCGAATGCATGACGAATCCCTCAGGCAGGAATTGATCAACGCCGAGAACTTTATCCTTTTAGTTTTATATGCCTGTACTTCTTGTTATACATTTTTGGACCGTCATCAGTTCGTCGTTTCCCCAATTCTATTTCTACTCGTGATGAGTTCAAAGAGACCAAACCGGTAAACGTGATTTCTTTTTTTGAAGTTTTTGAACTGACAACCTGAGTCTTCATCACACATCAAAGGCAAAACGGAGAAAATATAAATAACTCCTTTTGTACGATAAAACATTCAACATTTAGTTCCTGAAATAGATTGTGGGCATTGCATCCAGTACGCTTCCGTAATTTATTTTGACAGAGAGCGTTTTTTGCCGCACTTTTTCCGCTCCGTTGATAGTTTATCAAACACAGGCTTAATTCCGGGCATGGCTCATAGAGAGTTATTCTCTTCACTTATAAACATACAAAAACTCTTTTCTTAGACTGATTCGTTTCGTAGCGACAAACCAGTGATGTTGAAAGGATATGCACCACAGAGGGTGTTGTCGGTGGAAAGCTGACGGCAAAAAAGCACTAGTATTACGAGCGAATACAATTAGACGCTCATTAAAAAAAGTCATTCAGCGACGTTTCCCTCATGTAATCGCTGGAGATCTTCCATGTGGTGGTGTAAATGAAAACGTTCCCCACGTTATAGCTTGCAATAATCTACGGCACTGATAAGGTGGGGAAAGAGTTCTCATGGTTAACTACGGGCATACTAATAAGTACTTATCTTTCCGCTGTGGCACTGTAACTCCGTCTTATGGTCCACTGTCCTTTCTTGAGCTTTAAGTGAATGGCCTACTTATTTGTAAAGTCTTCTTCTGTTCTTTCGAAAACTGTTCTGTTCAAAAGCCATTAAGATGTGTCATTCCTTGTAGTAAGTTGTCGGCCATGAGAGACTTATGACAATTTGTGGTGGACAGGTGCTCTCCTTCATTCATGAAATTCTTTTCTTAAGCAATTTGACAAAAGGCGACATAACCCTAATAGAGATTATGTCCTTCTTGTTAGTTTATTTACTACAAGTTGAGCTATACCTCTATAAATAGAACGATGGCTATCGGTATAGAACTAAACTTTAAAAATGCAGGCACCTCAACTGAACAGTTTAACTATTCCCAAGACCGACTTTCTATTAACCTCAGCATTGAATGATAATTCGATGTTTTCTTCAATAGTACCAACCTTTTGTCTGCTTACTGAGGAAAATATCGAATTTTAACTATATTATCTGTGGGTCATACGTATGTCGTACCGATAGAAGAACACTCTACTACCATGTGATACGAGGAATTCTTCACCAGTATTTTTAGGCCGTGTATTCTGCTATAGTTCTTGTAAATAAGCTCGACTGGAGGTCTACTCTTTTGCAACTTGTCTCACTTGTACACAAAATGAAAATTCCAATTGTACCTCAACTCTGGTAGTCCAACACTTCCACCTTAGAGTAAAGAGCGACGAACCCTTTCGTCTCATCAGCACTTGATGCTCTTCACAACACTTTCTGCTTTCCGTAGTTCGGTTCGTTCCGTTCACAATCAGTCAAATTCTTCGACCGAAAGAAACTCACACATTCACACCACATTGACTGTCACGGAAGATTTAGTGGTTGCGAGGTTGTCACACCTCTCAACGGTTTACCGCTACATCGTGGCTGGGAGGTGTACCTGGTCATAGGGCTGCGATGTACAGCGGAAAGTTTCATTCTCCGGCAGGGTCTCCTATGCTCAAAAGAAGTGACGTTTCCGTCAGGAAGCCCAGCTAAGAGTAAGCCAAAACCAGGATCCACCACTGTACTGGTATCGAACTAGTCACATGGTGGCAAAATTCTTTCTGATCCATAAATGAGGCGATAACCTGTTGTGGTGATGATCTGATTCAGACTTTGGCCAGCTGACGTCGGGACACCAGGAAAACACAATGGCTAAGCCAGCAAAACTCCAAAAAGTGGAGAAAATGTTGGGGCTTGCACAACCAGTGAGGACGGGCCGTCCTAGTATCCACATACCCAAGAGTTTGTCACATTATTACAGTACTCACCGTTCCGTCCATTATCAATACCTTCACCCTCTATTCTCAATTCGCTTTCTTCGGACTCTTCGATGAGATGCACAAAAGATTTCACGTTATCGTTCGTTCGATCCGGATGGTGTAGTGGTGAAGTGCGCTGCTCCCCGGTAAGGACAACAGCGCGTGTTCGTTCTCCACTGCATACACCTGTGGTCCGGAGTTTTGCAAATATCTCAGCATTTCACACGAGTTATCGTTCATATTTCCGGCTTCTTTATTGCCACACTTCATTCATGTGGCGTCAATAGGCCTTCTGCTCTATGTTCTAGCCTACACATAGATCGATAGAGCAAAGTCTGCTATAAGTCCACTATGTATTTAACTTCTCATTTGCCATCGAAAATCTGTTGAGAGTTGAAGAAAACCCGGATCACGCAATACATGAAATGTGTGAAGTTGAATTTTTGACCCAGCGATTGATTGTTGTGGCTGTCATATTGGATAGAAGGATCTAAGAAATAACGAAGTACACTGACACAAATTGCAAAACTAACGGCAATGTGGTTAAATAGTGGGCAATAATAAAAGATTGTGAATAGTAAAATATATAGTTCTAGATTAATAAAGCAAAGCCCGCCTTGTAACTCTTTCATGATGTTCCGACCCCTCTGGTCCTTCAGCTATCGAGAAATCGTTGTTCATTACCGAAAAAGCAGTATTGCTTGTTACATGTTGTTTTAATAGCGGTCGAATTGTCTAAGTCTGTAGTGAACGATGGGCGTTATAGAAGTCCTGGGGCATTTATAAAGGTTATGAATATTCTAGATAAACTTATCGCTTGCTTCCATGTCTTAAAAGTTTATCATATTTTATTCGGTCCTATTTCCGTTTCCAAAATATCATCCTTCTTTTTCGAAATAGCAGGCAGAAGAAAGATTCATAAAGCTCACATTTTCGGAGTCGGGCGCTGGAAGAAACCACTGAGCAAGTCGATTGGGAACGGAAAAATTATTGTTGAGTTCTTCTCCGCTCTAAAGATCAACTAGATTTGTGTAGTAAATTTAGCATTCTTCTAATATTTGAAAAAAAGTCCTACACGAGTTTACAACAAACCAGCCAATAGGAGAAAATTGAACGCGTTACTCACGAGATGCTGTTCAGTGTTTGAAGGTAACGCAACTGCAGAGCTGACGGTGACTCGGCAATGACTTCGGCTGCTTCTTTCAAAGCACGAGAAGCTTTCTGTTCACCTTCCGCCACAATAACCTGATCAAAATTTTGGAATCGAATTATCGCTAGTAGCTTTCACGTGTGTCTGTTTGTCTGTGATGAGTGTAAAGCTTTACAGTTGGCACTATAATTTCCTTTCCATCTCTATTATTACTATCATTATTGTTGTTATTACGACATATTGTTATTTATTTAGTAGTTATTGTTCAAATAGACATCTAAGTATTACACTCTAAAATCAATTTCAATTCACTCCAGCTTCCCTCTTCTACTTCTTTCGACGAAATTCTAAGAAAAACTTCAATTTGCCGCTAAAAGGAAGACAGATTTTGGTACGAAATTCTATCCAGATAAGTTCTTTAATCGACTAGTGAAATTTGATATTTAAATGGTAACCTTAGCTCTGGCTTCTCTTGCCGCTTCGGCTTCTGCTGCCATCGCTCTTTGTAATTGGACAGGCAGTCGCACGTCCTTAACTTCAACTCTTTCCACCTTCACGCCCCACGGTTCGGTGGCTTCATCCAATGTCGTCTATTATTAGTGCAATTTAAAAATACTACTTCAGTCATTTTCTATTCAGCAGCTATTAGTGTATTGAAATATTGAATTTGAAAACTCAGTGTTGTATCATAACTATTGATAACGACGTTTGGCAAACCTGCATCTGATGCGAAATGGCCTCTCGATCGGAAAGCATTTCAGCTAGAGTTTTGGTTCCCAAAATATTTCGTAGTGTTGTTTGAGCAAGCAGTTTAGTGGATCGTGCAGCGTCTTCAACGTTGGTCACCTAACATAACGCGAAATACAGTTTTAGTTTCACCAAAAGAGTCTACTTGTAATCAAACCGAAATGGTCGCATTAGATATACGAAAATAAACGACAGCGTCCACAGCCACTGTTACAGAGTCTTTGGACAATATCTGAAAAACTAATTAGAGTCCACTGGCTTTGATAGTTGAATTCTATAATGAATTCTTTCTACTTCTGTTCAGCAAACACGAGGTGCTATTTTATTTCTTTATTTACGCACAAGCTGACGTTTCGGCGGATTTCGCCTTCCTCAGAGTCTGGAAAGGTCAAGTTGACAGCAACCTATTTGGCCAAACACCTTCATAACCAAACAGAGAAAACGCCAAACCAAGATTTTAATCACATTGAACACAACTCCGCACACTCACCGCTTTCTATGAGTCATCCACTGAGTATGTCGTGTGAAGGCCAACTGCACAGAATTCACATGGAAGCGTAATGTGCCTCTCCCATCAGAATAACAGGTTTATATACAGCCCTATATCACGCGTGATAATAAGGCATTCTTCTTTGCGCTTCATTTCCGGATTTCTGAAATTAATCCAGAACGTCTCGAGAGTTTTGTGCGCTTGTGTTCTTGATTCCTGCGCGAGGATCGTGACACGTACTTCAAAGCCCTCCCCGCTATGTCTCTGGGTCCTATGAGTGCCTAGCGGGGTATTTGGTTTGTATTTTCCGACTAGGTGTTCTTTTATGCAGACACAGAGGGGTTTGCCCGCTAGAGGCACCCAAACGACAACTCTAGCGACAAAAAGGTCCCGTTTATCCTACCCTTCATCTCAAATGATGTAAGTGCAGCTATAAAACGCTGCTTAAAAAGGGAGGGTCTGAAGAATTCGGTAAACGTAGTTGAAGTGCCACCGAGTAATCTTAAGCGCCAGCTAGTTCGTAACCGACTATATGACCGTCAACGTGCAACACAAAATTGCATAATTTACCCCAATGGTAAAGACGGTGATTTCATGAGCTCGGGTATAGTTTATCTGATCTCCTGTAAGACGTGCGGAGACGAATACATTTGCGAAACGGGTAAACCCCTCTGTGTCCGCATAAGAAACACGTAGCCGGAAAACACAAACTAAATAGCGGGGAGGACTTTAAAGTACGTGTCACGATCCTCGCGCAAGAATCAAGAACACAAGCGCGCAAAACCCTCGAGACGTTCTGGATTAATTCCAGAAATCCGGAAATGAAGCGCAAAGAAGAATGCCTTATTATCACGCGTGATATAGGGCTGTATATAAACCTGTTATTCTGATGGGAGAGGCACATTACGCGTCCATGTGAATTCTGTGCAGTTGGCCTTCACACGACATACTCAGTGGATGACTCATAGAAAGCGGTGAGTGTGCGGAGTTGTGTTCAATGTGATTAAAATCTTGGTTTGGCGTTTTCTCTGTTTGGTTATGAAGGTGTTTGGCCAAATAGGTTGCTGTCAACTTGACCCTTCCAGACTCTGAGGAAGGCGAAATCCGCCGAAACGTCAGCTTGTACGTAAATAAAGAAATAAAGTAGCACCTCGTGTTTGCCAAACAGAAGTAGAAAGAATTGTTCAATCAATGCCGAGGTTAATAGAAAGTCGGACGTGGGAGTTTCTATAAAGAATGTCTACCTCTTGGGGAGGAACCTCGAAAGAAAGAACTCGTAGATCTACTTTCCGATACGTGTCGATGCATGGAATAATGAAGAAGATGCCTACAAGTAGATTCATGTGACGTAATCAAATAGACGCCTATTTTTTCTCACATCCTTGCCATCATTTGTTCACTCGACTGGGGTTGCATTGAAGTAATTATAAACTGTGCACACCTGGTCCTTTGGCTCCACCCGGCATCAAACGTCCCAAGCGAAAAATAACTGCTCGCTCATATTCTTGCACGACCTGTGGATAGATCACAGCAGTGTAGTCTTTCTAGTAGTCAGAGCTTGTTAACTATCTTCAAATTTAGATTTTTGTGCCGCCATAAAGCTACGGGCAATGAAATGGTACAATGTCAGAAGAACGTATCTCAAGCCAACAAGACACATCCTGAGTTAACCAACCGAACGAAATTCTGCTGAGAGCGGTTAATGCATGAATTAGGCTTCCAGTTCAGTGAGTTCAAGTGAAGAGTTGAGGAATGCATGAAGGAAGCCCCTATTTTACATGGATAAATCAAGCGTCATTAGAAAACAGTCGTCTGAACCGAAAAAGAGTAAAGTGGATTCCCAAATTGAATAATGTGCAAACTAAAAGATTTACAGATTCCATTCGCTTTTACCCACGAATACGAATTGATGTGGACCGAGATATGTTAGCTCAAAGTTCAAAGTGAACACTATTTTCAAACCGAAAGTAATGCATTCAGTGAATCTCGACCGCTGTTGGTCATACTTATCAATGGACCAATATTATAGTGATCATCAGCCTCTTAGTGATATTAAATGACACGTACTTGCAGATGGAAAGTGAAACGCTACGGATGGCAAGAGCAGCACTGTGCTAACACTGGGTTATACATGAACTGAGGAGATAAATCCGTCTCTATAGTGTGTTTCATTAATAGAGACGATCGCTAAGCATTTAAATACTTGGAGGCGCTTTTCTTGTCCTCACGATTATCTTCTTTCGAAGTGGTCTACCCCGCATATGTGGTATGTGCGGCTACCACTACGTAATCTATGAAGCATTTGTGATTGCGAATACAGATGAAATACTTTTAATACTAATATCTTCGTCTTTCTTTTAAACAGTTGTCTCAAAAATGGACTTACATGGGCCAAGAATTCATTCTACTTCACCTTTCGTTAAACAGTTGTAGATACTCTCGATCATTTTATGCCGCATTTTCGACGAATATTTGAACACAACAAGGTCTAAACTAAGGATTTCTGCTACATACGGTGTGCACCGGTTGTGTTTTAGAAGATCTCGTTCAATCGCTCAGTGGATGGTCGTAAAATTCTCGGCGTGGTTGAAATGTCCTCTCACGCTTCCACTGCATAGCAGAACGCTAAAGATGCCAACCAAGGAAGAGAAGCACGAAGTTAGATAATCGGTGGCTTCTCTAAGATGCCCGATGGTGGCCATGCTACTCGCTTCGTTCGCATAATTCTTAATCTATATCCTTCTATATATAAGTGGATTGTTTCCGATTCTTTTAATGAATGAAATGTTACAATCGTGGAGTCACCATAAGTCTTCACTCCTTATTTGTAGTTGAAATGTCCGACAATAAATTTGCAGAAAAGTTCATCGTTGCAGATTGCTTCATCACACCGAGACAGTTAAAAAGAACTTAGAGAGAAGAAAAGAGAGTTGATGAGATGGGTAATAGAAGGGTGAAGGTTTTGTTCATCTTTATCTCTAGTAGAGCGATGACATAGAATACAGTAAGACCTGTTGCCTCAAAAAGAAGTGGAAACTGCCAGCTGAGGACGCAGTTCTGATAATTTTCAAACCAACTCCCATTTCATCTCGGTGGCAAAATAATTAATATATATTTAAATTGTTGAGTTTGCACGAGGTTGTTATACAGATTTATTCAGCTAAGGTGTTGACATCTTTGTCTTCATTAGAGCCGATGATATATGTCGATGGTCCATTTGCCTTCTCGATGTGGCGTCTTCGTCGTTGTAGCGAAAGGGATCTTCATTAGTGGAACACCGCATGAATGAGGCTCGGCAGTGTTCTTTTATACAGGGGCGATTGTTGTTGTAATGATTAATCATCGCCTAGGATCACCGCCTCTGATGAAGGCGAAAACGTCGAAATGTAAGCCGAATAAGCATCTCTATCAGCCTCGAGTAATCTCGACAATATCAGCACATGTTCATATTTTACTATCGAGGTTTAATGACGGTCGGTTTCAAAATTGCTGTTCTCCCAATCGCTATGTGTTTGCTGACAAAATACCGATTGCTCCAGTGTGGATTATCCGTTAAAAAACAAATTACTATCAACGGATAATCATATCAACAACAACCGCCCTGTATAAAAGAGCATTGCCGGGTGAGTACCACTCATTGGAGATGCTCCACCGAGAAAGATCCGTTTCGATAGGAGACGAAGACGCCACATCGAGAAGAGGAAAACCTGTGGACGACCGACTCGGGTTTTCGGTCCTGGTGAAGATGAAGACGTGAAAACGTTAACGGAATAAATCTGTATCTCAACCTCTCGTGAGCTGAAGAATTTAAATACTTGTTGACAGTTGTAATATCCCAGATGCACAATAAGAAACAGCCTTCATGCTATGTTGTAGGCGTATTTGTGGTGACCGGTTGCAGCCACATACTGCATAAACCAGGATTTAGCTTCTCAGGAACTTCTGGATCACAAGGAAGCTCTAGCATGGCACGATTCTTAGGGTTTATTAGTCGACTGTACAATCAATACGGACGCGGCATTTGAAGGAACAAATCTGTGGAAATGCAGGAATGAAAAATCGACAACATTGTAACAAGTAGCATCCTGGCATCCCAACTTCTGCATCTACGTTAAAACATTCATACATGCCTAGGTGTCTGTGCGCGTGTACAGATTATATCACGCACTCGAATGAGATGCTTTGGAATAGCAAATAAGCTCATTATTTATTCCCGTAAAATGTGAACGGCTATCAGCAATTATTTATCGTCGAAAATAAAAAAGCTTTATTCTACCTATTCCAAGAAGTTCCTCATATGGTAGCAATAGGTTGTTAAAATATCATGGTCACTCAAGGATGTTTATGATGACGATGTGCATTTGCAACAGACGTACAGTACCACCTGAATCTTCGATTGAGGACCTTGTGGTGTAGACTAATAAGATTAAATTCGATGTCGTCAAACCGACTAAGATGAGAAGATAATACTGTTCATGATATCGGAGAAAGGAAGAACTTCCAGCAATATGCCATTAAAAATAAGCTAATGGAGCTGGTAAAAAAAAGTTGAATTCTATTACGCATCTGACCAGAAATGGTTTGCGGTTAAAATGATGTGGATCAGCAAATGTAAGCTTCGATATTTCATGTGGACATTAAAAATATCGAGAAGAGAAAGCATACCTCTTCACAACTTTATAATCAATGACTACCGAAAGGAAACGCTTAGAAAATTCCACATCGTGCCTCACGGATTGAAATAGAATGAATAATGTGAAAGGTTGCCTGCTTTTAGCGTGACCACCGTGAGCATTCACCGTAACTTACAATTCCTAAAGCCCCTCTCAATGTTAGAAGCGGAAATCTCCAGTCGAGAGCTAAAGGATAAAAGGATAAAGTTCTCGGCGTTGATCATTCCCTGAGGGATGCACCATGCATTCAACTTCATTAAGCATCGTTTGGAGCTGACTGAATGCACACTTGGCTTTTACAATGACTTGCGGTGGCCTACCGATGTATCTATCCAGTGCTGCTATCCTTCCAAACAAGTCTGGTACCAATTTGACGATCCCGGATAGATGGAAGGCATGGTAGGCCATGCGCACAGGGATCAATTCCACGTGTGTTGCAGAGCACCTCCGACCACACGCGCCCCTTAGTCGGAAACACCACAACGAAATAGACAACGTTGTGTTAATTGGAAGATTTTGCATTACTAATGTAGTTGTTGCGTCAAAATTTTGCATGGAATGGGACCATCATCCCTTTCAGGGAAAAAAATTCAGATGTGCTATACAGGGGAACTTGTGTGATTTTTGAAGCAGTCTTTGAGGAAGTACCGTCTTCGACACCTTGCTAAGAATACATCCAGCTGCTCTCAGTAACTTCATGCGAATAGTAGTAGGACACCATAAGAGTAAAAGATTACAGCTGGAATACACCATTTTTATTTATCCGATAAAATCGTTCTATACAAAAAGATGCTTTTTCGGCGTGTAGGGGATAGATTGTAGAACGCCTTTGCGGAAGATTTAGTCTTCGATTAAATCGGCGATCTTTATGAGAAGTAGTTGTTTTTGATGCGCAATTCAAATTTAAGGAAACGAATAATATACGGCTGAAAATGTTAAAACAGTGCAACATTTAGTCCCCAGACTGAGCCGAAGAAAATGAGAGGCAAAGGAAACTTATAAAAATGTTATCGAATGCACTTTCGAGTGCGTGAGGCGAACAGTATAAACGAATCGGCTTTTGCAGGATGTCAGATGTACAGTGGAAAGACCACCAAAAATATATTCAGATCCTCATGAAAATTTTAGAATAAAATGGCGATAAATGGGTCGTAGGTTTTCTCTCTCGATCAGTCTTATGACTTCGTTCTTAATCTTACTATCTTACACCATTAGGTCCTCAACGGAAGATTAAGATGTTAATTTGGGTTAAAACCAGAGATCATCGCCACAAGCATAGAAAGTTCCTGAAACCGTAAAGACCTCTGCGCGCCCATTCTACTTAATGGTGTCGTATCGGAGACATTTTCAAGATTAAATAAGTACGGCTCATTATTTCTACTGTTTTTGGGGATTAATAGTCAAAGTGAGTTTTCTGAGCTCCCACATGGAATCTAGATATACACGCAGACAAGTTAGCGGTTTTCCCTCACTAGAAGAGAAAAACTGGTATTTTAGAAGAAACTGTTAACCACCTCCCATATACATCCCAGTCACTTCATTGCAGGCTTTCAGGTTGACAGAGCGCGTGTAGCGCAATGGTCGGAGGCACTCTCTAATGCGCATGTGATCGATCCTCGTACACCAGGATACCAAGCCCATCTCTCCGAGGTTGAGAAATTGGTACCAAACTTGTCTGGGGAAATAGTAGCAGTAGCTCGGTACATCGGAAGGCCACCGCAAATCGTTGTAAAGGCCAGATATGCATTCAAACACCTCCAACGATGCTTAATGAAGTCGAATGCATGGCGCATTCCTCTGGTATTGATCAACACTGGGAGCTTTTTTATACTTCTTACGCAACGTGCGGGATGCAATTTGCAAAAACTCAAGCATGCACACGTTATGTCTCCGTAAATATACGTGGTATGTGTAATCGAGTATGCAGATTGGTGCAGGAGAAAAAACAATCAATTCTCTGGTTGTACCTGAATATCAGGTAAAAGGTAGTTTAAATGGTAGGCCAAATTTGTTCTGCACTTAAGTCCTATCGGCAAGCAAGGGATCTGCCTCACGACTAATCATTAAGCAGGAGATAGCTCAGGAAAAGAGATCTGTGGACTCCAAATTTTGAAAGATACAATTCGAAAACTTTGGCGGCTAGATCATCTTTGCTGGTGGAATAATCACGAGGGTGTTTGAAGCTTCAGGGATGGTCGGCGTCACAGAAGTATTCAGATTACAGGAGAGCAACATTCGCTTCGGTCCAGTAGAAGAAAATTCCTATTGTTATAGCCTGAGAACACCTTCGCATGATTATCTCGGAATTGTAAGGACGCGAACCATTGCTATTAATGACTTCTGGAAGACAACAAGGACTTGGGGACGTCAGCCGCGTCTATGAAGATTGAACTGAACATTAAAGAAAAAGTGAGCCTTTCCAATCACTTAAAATTTTCAGATGAATAGAGTATTTAATGGAGAGAAGACTGTGGTTTCTGCAAAATATTTGCCTATTCAAGGCTAGAAATCTTGAAAGTAAGTGTTTTGTTGATAGCAATATATCATAGTAAAGCATAAAGAAATACGAAAGTATCTAAAGCGAATGTAGATGAACAGCTAAACGCATGCAAGTTTCTCGAAATGTAATAGTTAAACTCTCTTTCGTGTGAGTATGTCACTCACCTTTATGCACATACATGCTGATATAGGTAGCGTCACTAAAATCAGCAAGTAGGAAAGAATTGTGAGAATCCAACCGCACACACCGAACTCATTCTGAATATTTGCTGAAAGAAAGACTATCTGTTACCATAGAGAACAGGCTCCTAAAAAAAAAAACTTTTGTGAACCTGTTAGAACTTCATGGAAGAAATGCATGGAATTTTTCTCAACAAGGTCAGTTTTTGGTGGTCGACAATCATACTACGGATCGCAGATATGCGGCGATAATGTTGTAATAACTCTCTCATTAAGCAAAAGTTTAAGGAACATGTCAAAACAGCACTTACTGATATGAAACAGTATCATTCAACGTGCATAGTACTGAAATCATGTTGTTTGCTAGAGGAGAAGGTGCTGCTTACTAGGAGATGTCTGCGATTTCACAAAAAAAAAAACTACGAAATACAACTAGTGAAGCGGTTTCTTACGTAAAAATCTCTGCGGATTAGAAAGTCAATAGCGTGAAAATGTTAAGCTTTAGGGGATCGAATGTGAGGTGAATAGGATTTCCCGGTTTGAACTAGGAGATGTTGAAGGCCACGTGGGCAGCAACGTACTCTCCTTTTACTCTGTTCACCCAACCTATTTAAATGCATTTCTATTCGACAATCATTCATTATAGTGGGTGAGTAATGGTACTTCATGCCTAGTAACTTTTTCTTTCACAAGCTCCACAACCAAAACTATTCGATTGTTCCATTTAAGTGTCTAAAAAGTTTCATTCTAATAGAATTTACGCAGTCACAACACTCTAGTGTTTCTGAAAAATGCGCAACTTTGCCAGCTAACATTTTATCCCTGCTGATTTGTTATAACATCTAAAACAATTTTCAGGCATACGAAACATTTAGTTTGCTAGCAAAGACAACGACGGTCTGTTATTACAAGGAATACGTCGAGGTAGTAATGATATAAACACAAACTTATTATTTTTTATAATGTGATGTTCGACGAAGTGTGTAGCGCAGAGATCGGACGCGATCTACAATACACATAGGATTGATCCCTGCTCTCCATGCTCACCAGGCCTCCCGTTTCCCCGAGCTCGGAAAAATGGTATCGAACCTGCCTGGGAGGATAGCGGCACTGGCTCGACGCATCGGTGGGCCATCCAGAGGCATTGTAAAAGCCAGATATCGACTCGTTCACCTCCAACGATGCACGATGGAGTCGAAGCCATGGCACATCTCTCAGCAATTGTTTAACGCCAAGAACTTTATCCTTTCTTTTAATATTCTTGGTTGGTTACAAGTTTCAGCTACCTACTAATGCTGTGTTCGAGCATGAGTCAACGGAGACTGCTTTATGCCTTCACAAAGAGACGAGTGAATGTCGTCGAAACCGAATATCATTGTATGATATTCGTGTACCTCATTTACTAAGTTTCTTTTACGTAGCTGATAAGCTACCAAGTGCTTAAATTGCCTAGAGGCACGAATTTGTTGATGGGTTCCAAACCGTCCACTATCAATTAGCGAAAGCAACCTACTGTGGAATTAAATGCGTATCTCGATTCTCTTTGCACTTTATTATAATGTGCTCGTAACTACGTTCATTATGGTCTAACTTATGAAAGGCGCTTCTAGGTGAAGGGCACGATTTGAAATTGTTTCAATGGAAAAGTGGTCCAAAACAAGGAAAGTTACAAAAATCAGGTAAGGATGTGCGGAATCCCATATAACTGGACACAAAGGACTAAACGTAACGTCGCTGCTGAACGAAAGAAATCTCCATACCTTGAGACAGTTCGACACAAACTGGTTTTCCACTGTCTTTCTCATCGCCTTTCACATTCCCATCACAATCCGTAAATCGATTCAATGGTGTGTTTTTATTCTAAGGTGAATTATATTGCAAACTTCCGATGATATGGTAGGTTCATCAAATGTAAAAAGAAACTCTTTGAGAAATGTGAAGCAATTCTTTGTACCTCTTCCAGATGCCCTAGCGTCTGCATAGCCATTTTTTCAATCTCTTCGCTAGAGGAACTCAGTAGGTCATCATCTTTACTACTGCTGCTGGGAATCACGGTGACATCCTGACCAGAAACGTGGGAAGAGAGAGAAGCACGAGATGGAGTATTAGCCAGACGTGTTTCCACCTTAGATGAATCGGACGACACTGAGACAATAGAATGTCTAGCAAACATTCTATTTTGAATGACGATTTTTGGTGGAAGGTTTTAGTTAAGCATTCAGTGCTTGATTATACGGAAGAGCGAACGACGAGCAGTGGTAGTGGGCTTGATCCATAAAAGTCGTCTAATTAGTTATGAATGGATATAGTGGATGTATAGGGTCTGCGTTGCCATTGTAATCCGTGTCCAAGCGAAAAGGCATGAATTCTCAATAAGGAATGACCATACGCAAAGAGTAAAACATTTTAAATACCAGAATGACACGACAACAGTTTTGAGCGAAAACATGCAAAACTGATGAGCTTAAGGGACCAAACGGAATTTTCATCGCATGGAACACTTCACGTCATCGGCCAGTAATGGTATGTCCACTCTATTATTTCCTACTATCGAAGAAAAAATCACAAAAAACAAAAGTTGTAGATTAAAAAGGTTATTCCCACGTCCGACTGTCTATTAACCTCGGCATTGATTAAACAATTCTTTCCACTTTTGTTCAGCAAACACGAGGTGTTATTCCACTTCCCCACTCACGTAGAAGCTGACGTTTCGGCGGATTTTGGAGTCCTCAGTACTCAGTGGAGGACTCATAGAAAGCGGCTCTGAGGAAGACGAAATCCGCCGAAACGTCAGCTTTTACGTGAGTAGGGAAGTGGAATAGCACCTCGTGTTTGCTAAACAAAAGTGGAAAAAAGGTCATTGTTGTGTACTAGCTAGTTTGTTACAAGTTAAAATTGGTGAACGAAATTAATAGTCATTAAGAATATAATGAGCACTTGAATGTATGTAGTAGTCGAATCTGACAGCGAACAGAGAAGTATTTCTCCGAGTTCTGAACTTCCTTCCTCTCACCACTAAAAGCAGGTCTAACTTGCTTAGCGATTGCACCAAAAACGTGTTATATTCACATTATATGACTGCAGTAACCTTTTCATGTATGAAGTAAAAGGTCACGGTGTTGATCAGTCCCTCGGGGATGCGTCACGAATTCGACTTAGAGAGCATCGTTAGAGGTGAGATGCATATCTAGGCCATACATTGACTTGCTAATATTCTTTCAGATAAGTTTGGTACCATTTTTGTTAACCATGTAGGTATGGAAGGCCTGGTGAAGTCTAGGACGCGGAATCGAACCTACGACCACTTGTGTATTGTAAGGCACATCTAACCACTGCGTTACACGTACCCTTTGCTATAATCATCAATAAACCACTAAAACGCATAGCATCAGCCTTTCGGTTATGCTGTCAACTACTGTTTTCAGGACCAATCGCAATCTCATCAATTTTGTTGAGTTATGTTGAAAATTCTCCGTTCATCGATCTCTGTATTTATGGTGATGCCAGAGGTGAAAATTGAAGAACTCAAAATCGCCTCATTGGTCTCGATACAACAAACTAAATGATCTAATATACATATTTAACAGCATAATCTACAAAAGGGTTTTTAGCAAAACTTTGCAAAGCCTTAATAATTTTTAGTACAGCTGAAAATCTTGCATAAGAACTTGAGTTGCTGTGCTGCCAGTGCTGTCCTCAGGACAGAATTAATAGGAATGAAGCTGGCTCAGTTTGTTTCATTTAACATTCTTGGCTATATTTCGGAAAGTTACGCATTAAACAGGTTTACTTTCGATAGAATAAATATGATTTTAATTCAAACTGACTACTGAGGGTGTTTTAATTAGATGATCGCGATACAAGTGATTTGAAAAAAAGTACGACCAAAACGAACAACGATAGCTTCTACAGAGTACACGAAACTAGCACTCACGCCTTTTTGGTGTTTTGCCTTTCTTTGGAAAATAGCGGAAATTTTCTATCCTTATGAGTGGCGCTTCGACCACCATCCGCACATGGATCTACAAATTACGCTGAGCCAAACGCGCCTACACACAAGAACAAAATGAGAACATAACCGTGAGTCACGATTGCAAGTGGAATAACGTGATTAAAATCTTCAGATAACAAGACCTTTAAAGAGGAAACAGAAGGCACGAGCTCGTGTCGATGTCATCAATCGAGGTGTTCTATAGAGAGGATTCAGAACTGAACATCCTCTTGTGAATGAATGCCTCGCAAGATGGAATTTTCCTATTCATAGAAAACAGAAGCGTTCACTTTTACCTCCATCGATTTCTACCACAAAATTTCCCGAAAATCTCTTGCCAGATAAAATCACATATTCCAGCTGAAATCTCTTCTTACAACATATGTGCTTTTCTTCCATACTTTGTTTTATACTGAAAATGGCGTTATTATATGTAAAACGATAAACTGCAGCTAACGTTGGTCGGTTTAAAATAATAGCAACGAAACCTTCCTACCCTATCTTGCAAAAACCTATGCTTTTCAAGACCCAATGCTTGAGTTGCTTTATTCCAATATTCTCTTTTTTCTTGCTTTCTTGATCTGAAGAATAAATTTCCATAGCAGCGTCATGGATTGCTAGTGACCTGAGTGATATTTTTTGTTTACTTTAAACAGCAAAAATACTTCCAGAAAAATCTAAATTATAACCTTGAAAATAAATCAATAATTCCTACACCTATTGATTGGAGCATAAGAAGTGCATTTGTTTTAAGTGCAAAAGATGAAAAATTAATTAGTGAGTTGAGAAACATGTGAGCGCATCATACATGAGGTCGACAAACCCAACTGCGCAATCAGATTTTTTCCCTAATCCCATTCAACGAAACCTGACGGTCATTGAAAGCAACCTTTTCACGGGAAGTTCTTTGATACCAAGAACGCTTATTCAATCAGAATCTGTAGACGGTTTGCTAACGTAAGCTTTATTTAGTTCACCTTTGTTCTGTGGACTTATTTTTACAATCTCCATCACGTTTATAAAGAACAACTATCGTAAACTACAAACCACACGGTATCCATAGATTAGCTCTCTCTGCTCTCAAATTTTCGTTCAAACGTTTCCTAATAACTCTTTTTTCATACATATAGCATTGAAATAGACTTGTTTTATACTTCAACGTTTGGAGCCATTTTCTCTTAACTATCAAAGGCATGAATCGTTTTCGAGATTGTAGCTGTTTCTCTTGACTGCCTCTTTGCTTCTTGACTTCGGGTTTCCACAATACTGCATCCTTTTCGTTACTTTCTCAACATCTCCAGAATACTTTAATAATCTGCATCAAAGCAGAAGTAAGAAATGCGAGTATGTATGGCAAAAGATTACTGAAATAAGATGCAGAAGTTAGCAATGTATGGAGAAGAAAACAGGAAAGTAAACACAACTGAAAAGAACCTTCGCAGAGAATTGAATTGTGCGACAGAATTGAACGATGTTCAAGTCAAAAAAGCTTTTTCGTTTTTTTGCATTTTAATACAGCAAGTGTGAAAAAGCTCTTATTCACTTCCAGGTATAACATGTATCTGAGTGCGACGCTTGCCCTTACAGTGAACTCGACGTTGCAACCTAATAATTACGAATAATTCGTTCTAGAAGAATAACAATCATCAATTCCAACTGTAAAGCAAGCACCTAATACTATTCTACTATTGAGAGTAAGAATCGTAGAAATACCTTTAATAAATGAAAAGAATCATCCGTATCACCTATATCAACTGCTTCCTCCGGAAGGGAATCAGGGAATTACCAATTTTGGCCAGATGGCAGCATTTAAGGTCCTAGAGAGCCGGATATATCCAGTTAGCTTGTGAGGCTTTCAAAGAATAGATGTGGAGAATGTTTTAGGGCTGCAACATTGAATCCCTTCCTATGGACTTCCGACCCCGTAAATACAAGATGTTGGTCAAATCGACATGACAGAAGCAAACGACACAAGCGCTAACACAATCAACTATTTACAAAATATGACTAGGTTCACTCAGGAATTACTTAAGTCTGGCACGACGCAATAGACGCAAGGAGCAACAACTTCTACGTTTTGAGAATAGCCACATGACCGAGTTAAAAAACACTCGAAAATTCCCTGTGTAAGGCAAATACATGTCTGAACATATACCAACATTAAGGCACTTTGGTGAAGGGGACCAACAGAGAATTAGTCAAACGTACTGCTGGAACCTCACCGACAGCGAATTGCAATCTGTGAATCCAAATTCGGAAATGCTACCTAGTTATTGTTTTTGAAATAGTGAACGGTCATATAGTGACTGGAATTTTATGGAAGGACCGCGTCTGAACTGTAGACGTTTCAATTCTTTGCGTTGCAGTATTTCACATCCACATATGAATGAATATGCCGACCGAATAGTTGAGCGACAAAAACTCACTGTAAATCTCCGCGATTAAACAAAAATTATCCAAGTATGAAAGCGCAATGGAATTACTAAAGTAAAACTAGGTTAAATCAGTACCCTGAAAGTGAGTAAGAAAGCTAAATTAAGGGAAAGATACATCATATGACTGACCTGTTTGTAATCCACCTAACTAATAACTGTCTGTTTATTTTACGACAATTTTTGTTCAATCCGTAGAACTTCTGACATAGATATTGGGGTGGCGACCTCTCTTCGCCAGTCCGGTGACGGCGTACCTTACTTCTCGCCTGCATGATCAATTCTTCTACCGAAGATTCAGAAGCAAGTGTGCGTGCATTGTAGGTACAAATAGTCACCCTAGTCCTTCATGATTTCGGCGGCCTTACATGGCCCTAAGGTTCTAACGGCCTCTCCGTACTCGTCCTACCCAACGCTTCCGTATCAAGGACTCCTTAGGGGTCAGGGGAACGAGGTACAGTTTTTTCACTGTGTTAATCTTGTCATGCCCACTGACAGATTGCTGAGCTCTGAACGTATAGGCAGGATATAATCGCGTATAGCTTGGCTTTCCCTACCAGAGCAGACCAAGATCTTCTTTGTTGTAGGCGACACTTGTAATGCCATCCATCTAATTTCCAGGTCAGGCGGCTACTGGCTGAATTGACTTGCAGAATGCAATCCGTATAAATAAGAACACATATTCACACTCATGTATGAGAATTTTTTCGTAAATACAGACGATATTTATCTAATCGGCATAGCAGAAAC